ATAACTCTTTATTTACACAAATTCATGAGAAATCGAGAAGGCTTTTAAAATGTCAAACCTAAGAGTTGGAAAGGAAGAAAGAGAGAAAAATCGAAATTGAGTAAGGAATAGAAAATTAATATTAAATACAAAGGATAGAGAACATACCCAGAATTCAAATTTTGAGTTGGAATTGTTAGAGTCCAAACTGTAAGTGCTTAGAGGAAATGACGACGGACGTAGAGGTCTGAAACAAAGAAAGTAATGTATTAATATGATTAATGAAATGCTAGTAAGTGTGCGTAGATGCAATCTAAGTTTACCAAACATGGAGATTAACATAACGACCTAATGTACAAAACTTTTATTGTGTTTTGAAGAGAGTCGATTCCTAGGTTTTTGGTAATTGGCCATTGTTGTCGTTTGGTGATGCCTTAAATGTTACATTTTCTAATAAAAGAACAAAATACCCTCAATATATATAAATAAATAAATAAATAAAATTCATTTTTATTAGTCTTTTTCTAGGGTTTTTTGAATATGGCTATTAAATGTGGCATGGTGTTTCTTTAAATGCGATCAGAACAATTCTTTGTGGGTGTTCAGGCAAAGATATTGAATTATCTATTTGTGTATTTATTTCCATCTTTCACACGTCTTTTTGTTGACTTGGTGTACATGATTCCCATCTTTCATACTTTCTTATAGAAAAATAAAATAAATATATAAATAAATATGATTTTTTATTTTTCTAGGTTTGTAGCTTTGGCTCCACTTTATTATTGATTTGTGACGGTCGGAGTTATTGTGTATGATATAAATAATCTTGACTTATTACATAATTCTCAGTATTGGGTGGAGGCATGAGTATTGCATTGTGTTTCGTTCAATCCTGATGGAACTGGAATTCTAGATTCTAGTTCATGGTTTTTTGGTTGACAAATTATGGCTTTGGTTTCTGAATTTGAAAGATGAAGTCGAGGATATAACCACTATTTTGAAAATCAAACCGATTCATCCGGTCAAACCAGTTCAACCAGGAATCGGCTGAGTCACTGGTTCTATAAGTCTCAAAAACCGGATGTGTACTGAACCATTGAAAACCAGCAGACTGATCAAAAAATAGTTAAAACTGGACCGTTTACCACTAATTAATCCGGTTTTTTTTCTAAAAAAAAGACTAGGACAGTTTCCGGCTCTTTATAAGCCAACTTTAAAAGCCCACTAGACTTTGCAAGCCGGATTATTTCATTGACTTTTTTGACCATTAATAAAGCAAAAAAAATTGGGTCTAGCATAAAGGAATCAAGGAATTTCAATTTCCGTCATATCCACTGGAATCAACATAACTAACTATTAGTTTTTTTGGAACGAATGGGGTCCTTAGGAATTGGAATGATTCAGGTTTATTCCAGTCATAAAAAAAAGCAATAAGGTGAGGGGTGAAAAAAAACCTAATTGGTTTACCTCAAATTCGACCTTCAAACCGGCAATTACAATTTAATTATTTTTGTTGAAGGGTACATCAACCTCAAGTTCGAACTTCAAATCAATATGTGGTTGCCAAATCCATCAAATAGAAATTCATTCAGATAAATTATACACAAAATGAGGAAAACAAAAAGACCCAAAACGGATATCTCTTCAATAAGAAAAAAAAAACAGGTTTCAGCCTTGCTGCCATTTATCAATAGATGAACAAAATTAGAGTGCCTTGATTCCATGTATCAATAGATGAACAAAGTTAGAGTATGACAATGTAGAGGTGGCGTAATCTTATAGATTTGGTTTTCTTCAACTAACACAATCTTATAGATTTTGTCACATTTGAGCATGCTCTTACACATGTTAATGGGAATTATGGAATAAAAATTTACCTTCTTACAGCCCAAAAGGCCTTGCCCTCCTTAAGGTATGCTCAGAATCTACAATTTCAAATTTAATCATGAACTCTATGCTTAAAATGAGACATTATCAAGATTCAAGAAACAAATTAATTAAGTTGCCTGAAGTGTTAGCAGCAAGAAGAAGTGTTCGTGAAGAAACAGGTTGGTGAGTCAATGATGATGGATTGACTATTCCTTGTGGTTTCAATTGCTGAAAGAAGAAAATAATAATATTTCATTAATATATAAACAAAAATAATGGTAGCAATTGACTTTTAAAAACTAAAAAACCAATACTTACCGTTTGGAAAACCCCTGTCTAGCATGAAATTTACAATCTAATTGGTGACAGGAGAAACATTCTTGATAAAGTTCTTGAAACATCAGCCAAATAACGCCATGTTTGTCATCTTTGTATCAGTCACCATACATATTATATCCACAACCACTTATAAGTTATGAAACAAAATAACAAAATTAGTTCCTTATTCATACAAACAAAACAACAAACACCTTGTCTACATAAATGTAAAACCGTTAAATTACCAATTACATCACATAATCACAAGAAAACTGAAAGAAAATTAGATAATAAATGGATTACATGATTCTCTGACTGTCAATGTGGTTGATATTTGCAAAGAACTGCAATTCGTGTGAATATGCAGAAATTGCTTCAACTTTGAGGATCAGACTTACTTGAAACAGTAGGAAGTTGAAATTAAGTCTGAGAAGTCTCTCTTTATCGAGTTTTCTATTCGAATGGTGAAAGCGAGGAAACCATATTTGTCTTTATTTTTGAAAAATTCAGAGAGAAAGAAAAGAGCGCCTGATTAGAAGACCCAATTTTGTCAATTATTTCAGAAGTGCGCTTATTGTGTGCATTAGAGAGATATACATATTGCATTTGAAATACCTTATCAATGAGAACAAATGGAATTGAAGCCCTAAATTCCCGGAGGAAAAGACGTCGATAACATCAAACACAGGAAGTCGGAAAGGAAGAATGATGGATTCAAAGATGTTGGAGAAACATATGACATACCGTAATTATAACAAAATAACAGACAACAGGCGATTGGTGGCTGATTTTTGGTGGCGGCAATTGAGCGCAAAATTGGTTAGCAACAGCAATCGAAATCCTTATTTCTTGGGCGGCAAATCGTCGACCGTCAAACCAAAGAAGTCGGAGACATTGATCGGAAACGCAATAGGATTAGAAAGAAGACCAATTGTATGAAAATCAAAACAAAAGTGAAACAACCAACAACATACCGAAATTCCTTCAGGGTACATGCGCTTGGTTGCAGGAGTTATGTGGTGACAATAGAGCGCATAAGGTTTTTGGTGAGAGCAATTGAATTTCTATATTCTTGGATGAAGTCGTCGGTAGAATCAAAGTAACAGTCGGAGACGATTCAAGAAGAAAGGAAGATATTGTGAGACGAATGAAGAAGAAAGGGGTGGAGAAATTAGAAAGTGATGTGGATGGTTACAAACTGATGTCGATGTTTTTGTGGATTATGATATTAAGATGTAAACGTAGAAGGACGAAACAGTAATTATGTCCAAATTGATGTGTTGAAAGTTTGAAACATTGGAAGTTTACTGTTTTAAGATGTGTTGGGTTTTAATATATGTATATAATATCAATTACAATTACTCACTGAATGTATGTTATTTCTTTACCTACAAGTTTACGTCACTATTCAACAGACAATAAGCTAATAAACATATTGCCTTTTATGGGGAAACTTGAAGAAAGGCCGATTTACATCTTTGGTGTAAACTTAATTTTGATCCATTTTGAGATTATATGTACGGAAATATGTAGAAAAATCTTTTTTTTTTTTTGGAAAAATTAACAATTAAAACCCAATCTTTTTAATAGAAATACCCAAAAAAAAAACTAATTTCATTATTTTAACCATTTTTAACATATTCAACACGTCATGAGACCAAATTGTTAACTCTTCCTAAATAATGAGATTTTTTTATAAATGTTTTCAAAATTTGTATACTACATATAAACGTATTTTTATGAATTTATATGTACTATTTATGTATTTAAATATATATTTATGTAGTTTTGTACTTTTTAAAGTTTTTTTATGTAGTTTTTTTTACGTTTTTTTAATTTTTGTTCTTTTACGTTTTTATATATTTTAAATGTATAAATGTTTTTTTTATGTATTTATATGAAATTTTTAAGAATTTTTATATACTTTAATGTATTTTGGTATATTTTTCGTGTATTTATATATCTTTACATATTTATATGAACTTTTAAGTTTTTTTACGTACTTTTATTTATTTTGGTATATTTTTCACGTATTTATATGAATTTTTAAATAATGCAGTTGGCAGCAATTAGAGTGTAAAACCTACATAAAAGAACTTTCTTTGATCTTTCCTACAATAAAATCCAATTATATACTACAAGAATTGTCCCATATGCCGAAACATCTATGTCGATGACACAAGTCGTCGGAGTTCACCAACTTTGGTTGACCAACTTTCTTTGACCTGGGTATCTATGCCAACGACTTGTCGACGCGGAAATGTTAAAGTATTTACGTGCATGGTTTTTCAAAACCTATGCCGATGACCGGTTGTCGGAATATTTTGCATAAATCACTACTAGAGAACTGCCCTTTAATGACATGCAAACAATGACACGGAGTGATTTACGATACTTATATTTTGTGTGTCCTAAAAATAACGTCTGTTTTAAAAAAAATGAAGGATAGAGGACACATATTTTTGTGTGCCCTAAAATTAGTGTCCAATAAAAAAAATTAAAAACACAGAGGGCACCTGTGTTAAAATGAGTGTCGTGTAGAGATATCGTTTTATATTTTATTTAATGAAACGCGCATTTAGCTTGGGGGAAATGAAAATCCCAAAAGTTTGAAAGGCCGCCATTTTAACCTCTACCTTATTTCCATCCTTCTTCTCTCTATGATCAATACCCAAAAAAAACCCTAACATCATCACTGCTCCTCTTTTCTTGCACAACAAGAACCTATGACGCCGATCATGAAGTTCTCAAAGCGTTCAAAGGATCGGGAATCAAGATCATTATTGGGCTAGGAAACAAATTCCTGAGAGATATAAGCACAAGCCGGTCGAGCTATGGATTGGATGAAAAACAATGTTGAACCCGTCGTCCCCGAGACCCGTATTCGTGGAATTGTAGTCGGAAACGAGGTTCTAGGCAGTGATCAGGAACTCTGGGAGGTCCTACTACCGTCGGTGGAAAACATCCACACTGATCTCGACCTCCTCCACCTAGCCGACGATGAGGTTTCAAGCCCACATTCCGCTGGTGGGTTCGCTAGTTCGTTCCCTCCATTTCTACATAAACACGTATCCATTTCTCACATACATCAGTGATCCCGAACACATCGATATCAATTATGCAATCTTCAAAGATAACGCAGGAATAGAAGACGCGAAAACGAAATTACATTATGATAACATGTTCGAAGCACAAATCGATGTCACTTACACTGCTTTGGAAAAAGCTGGATTTGAGAAGATGGATGTTATAGTATTGGAAACCGGATGGGCTTCAAATGGTGAAGCGAATGAAGCCGGAGCTATGTTGAGTAATGCGAGAACATATAATCTCAACTTACGTAAAAGACTACTGAAGAAGAAAGGTACACCTTACAGACCAAATTCAGAAAGAGACTCGCCTTTCTGTCCATCTGCAATTTCTGAAATCCCTAATCACCTAATCATATTTGATTAATCTGTCATCTCTTATTGATCGTAATTGTTAATGGACACAACTACATTTAACTTCTTTATTTAGATGAAAGTGAAAAACTGTTTGTGTAAGCAGTTTTTATTCGTGCAAATGCGCTTCACAGTTCACTCTAATCACTTTCCATAAATTGTTTTTAGAGCTCTGGAAAATCATCTGTGTTGGAAAGTGTAGTTGGCAAGGATTTTTTGCCTCGTGGTTCTGGTAATTATTATATCTTCAAAGTTTTCTGATTCAATTTGTTGGATATAAAATATGATTAACATCTATTTGCAGGAATTGTCACCCCGGCGTCCTTTTGTTCTACAACTTCATAAGATCGAAGAAGGAAAATAATAGGCAGAGTTTGCTCACCTTTCACGAAAGTGGTTCACTGATTTTGGTATTACGACTAAAAAGCTTATGATCCTTTTGCAATTCTCAATCTCTCTGCATGATCTTGTTACAAGTTTATATACTTTTTTAGCTGCTGTGAGGAAGGAGATTGCTGATGAAACTGACAGTGTGACAGGTTGTACCAAATAGATTTCATATGTTCCTATATATCTCATTATCTATTCTCCAAATGGTATGATATAATTATAAACAAAAGATGTTTCATGAACATCAAATTTTAGAAAACATAATAAGTTACTAATCAATCTATTATGTCTGAATTTCTGATCTTTTATAGTTGTGAACTTTACCCTCATTGATCTTCCTGGCTTGACAAAAATAGTTGTTGGTAAGTTTACACAATTACACCATTTATAATATTTTGCAACTTTGGTTAACTTCTGTCTTTGATTAGTGATTTATGTAATCTATTTTCACCTATGTAGAGGGGCAATCTAATAGCATTGTGCAAGATATTGAAAACACGGTGAGGTCATACATTGAAAAGGTATATATATTTATTTACAAATGTACCCAAATCTTATTATATGCTGAAAAGAATTGAAGAATAATATTAATATTTATTTTCAATTGCATTGTGACATTGTCTTGCAGCCTAACTGCATTATTCTAGCAGTTTCTCCAGCCAACCAAGATCAATAAATTAAAACCTGAAGGCTTCTTGTTGCCATCAGTTCTCTACAACTTTTAAGTTGGAGTGTTTGTGAAAGTCAAAGTGTTTTTTATGTCCGAGAAGGGTATTCTCTACTTAGGGTCTATCGGGTTGTTAGGAGAATATTGTCCTATATTCAAGGAGAAAACTCCTTCCTTTACAAAACCAATCACCTGTATGCATCGAGCGCCATTTCAGGACCACACTGATTTCCACAAACATCAAGTCAGAAAACAGGAAGCATTAGTTTTGCAGTTGAGAGAATGATATCCGTTGTAGTCAATAATATTCACAGTTAATGCTGTGTCTTTAGTGTTGACTGATCCACCATGTCTTTCTGGTCATGGAGTTGGTGATAAGCGTTGTGTAGATCAATCTTTAAGAATTGTTGTGGGCCATGCAACATATCTAACATACCATAATGGCGATGACAGGCCGGATGGGGGATTGGAAACTTATATTTGATCATGACTTTTTAATTGAATCTACATACTTCATATTTGGTTCTGTTGTCAATTACCTTACTTTCTTATTTAAAATATTTAGCTTTTCTCTGTCCCTAAATCCTAAATTCCTAATCGATTACTCAAGTCAAGTTCCCAAATGATGTCGACAAATTGATAGTTTTATGCTTAATTATTAATGATTACTTTTATATGTATTATTCTTCTTCTTTACATAGTGTTGTATTACAAAGTATGAACTTATTTGTTAATTTTTATGTTATTAACTTGCTTTTTAGATTTAGGTTATAAACTTGTTTGTGTAAGCACTAAGCAATGTTGGTTGGCTTAGTTTTCTACATCAATATTCTTATTTTTGAACTCTATTGGACACACATTTTTGTATGTTAGAAAATGCTTTTGTTGATACCCATTAATCTCCTTAATAGTGATTGTTTTTTTGATATTGAAAATGGTGATTGCAGATGATGTCGAATCCGGAATCGATAAGAATGGCGACAGATAGCATGAAATACATGAAAGTTCAGGACTTGAGGCATGCTGGAGAACAGTTGAAGTCAACTTGACCAGATGAGATGGCAGAGATATTGGTGAGAAGATGGCCAATGCAACACCTGAGGAGCTAGCTGCTATGCACTCCAGAGTATATGCACAATTAACTTATGAATTGAATGCAGCTCAGATGCTGAAAAAACAGGTAAGCATAAAACGCCTATCGCCTCTCTGTATGCGTTTCTTTTTTTTACTCATGAATTATCCGAACATGTGAGAGAATTTATTTTTATTTAAAAAAAAAATCAACTCCTTTAAATTCCAGTCCCTTTGACAGATCCCAATTTCTTTGAAAATATTATGAAAGAACAGTTATTTTAATTGTTGTTATTTGCTTTAGTTTGTGGCTTACCTAAAATTCTTCAGGAAGCAAATAACCGAAATAACAATACGTTACCACCTCCATGGGCAATAGCTGTTATGTTCATCCTAGGATTTAACGAGTTTATGACACTTTTAAGGTTTGTTTGTTTTCTTGTCTTTCTAAGTAACTTGTTAATACTCAAATCCAAAATTCACAATACACATTGTCTTGTTTTGCAGGAATCCATTATGGCTGCTTGTTATTTTTGTGGGTTATCTTCTTTTCAAAGCTTTGTGGGTCCAACTAGACAAATCCGGTGAATTTATTTAGCAATGGAATGGTGAGTTCCATTCCATCTAAATATATCGAATCATCAAGTCATATAATAGCAACATACTTCACAGTTTGTCGCACTTAGTTCACAATTTATTTATTATTATTATTCAAGGGGTAGTTTCGTCATCTGGATCATCTGGTGTAACCATGGAAAATGGAAATGGAAACGAATACACTAGTCCCACCACACATGTCAAAGAGCAATACGTTCCACCTATCACTCACATTCATTTATTTGATCACACACTTGTACACAAACATGCAAAACTCGTTTATTTACACATGTATATATCATTTTATGGATTTTTTAATATATATGCAAAACTCGTTTATTTATGCAGGATGGAAAGTCGGGCAATGCTTCAAGCGTTTACTTGCCATCCAGGCCAGGTGGACAGCCGCCCATGACACTAAGTTCATCATTTTTACCTGGTAGACCGGGTGGCAAACCAATGACACGGATGATATTGTTTTACTATTCAAACATTTGTTATAAAGTATTTGTGAACTTGCACAATTGTAACTAAGAAAGCATATTTGTAAACATTTGCAGATGTGCTGACAGAAGAAATAAACACATACATAGCATACTAATGTCATCAATTAATTTTTAATCATATATTGTATCAAGCTACAATAAGAAAAAGATGACATATATTTGTTTTAGTCCCAACCTTTAATGAACTGCCCACCTCCACTTGGAATATTATTTACAAAAAACCCTTCAGGTTTTACAAACCAGTAACAATGTTAAGGATCCGCATTTAAACTTAACTTGTCAGAAATGGCTTTGTTAAACAAATCTAAGCTCTGAAATTTTGAACCCCACCAGAAGTAACCGTAAAAAAGAGTGTGACCACCAACCTTTTCACAGAAAGACCAGGAGTAATTTCCTACATATGGAATGGTATGGTTCCCAAGATCATCATCTCCTGATTTTATGTGAACAACAAGATCTTCACGGAGAGCACTAATAACGCTAACATTCCATTTTGTAGTAAACGGACATGAAAATGCTATTGAAGCAATTGGGTATGTTAAAATGAGAAAGGAAAAAAAATTATGAATTGTAGAAGACCTCGTGTTTCTGAAGAGTTTTCTCTTTATTTCATGCACACAAGTTCCCTCTATTTATTGCTGAAGATGTAAGCTTGCCTCAATGGAGTAACGGTTCCTGCTAACGGAAGTTACAAGTTGGAAGTTATTATGGCAGTTACATAAGTTTCTCAACATTTTGTAATTAAATATATGATAATTGCTCCCACCGACCAGAATGGTTATATAATAAAGTTCATGAACGACAAACACACTAATAACATTAATTGAAAAGTAAATATTATTTGATATCAAACAAATTCGTATATACAACAAAAGATGACAACAACTGTTTTGTATATGTTCGTCTCAAGATGACATAGTTTACTGAATATTTACAGATTAGACGCAAAATTATACAGCAAAGAGAGTACAGTTGATGTCTATGTATGTTCTGAAAAGATCAAATAGTTTTACTGCTTTTGGCATGTGTCCCTTCGTTCGCTTCGCCGTGTTTTTTGTATTTCATTTGTTTGGGACGTTGTGATTTATGTGTAGTATCTGTGAAATGGAAAGATGTTGGTTCCGTGTTGGATATAAATATACTGCTAAATGTTATTTTTACCTGTATGTTCCAATTGGAGGCGTCTTCCGGTTTCATGTGATTTAGTAGGGGTGAGGGACTCGGTATTTGTGGTGGTTTGTTGACCCATTGTGGTTGAAGGTGTAAACGTACATGCATTAACATCTCCAAAAGTTTTGTCTTCTTTAAGGAAGTTAATGAAAGCATGAACTTTGATTTTAAAGATGCGTGCAATGATATCTGGTCGAACATCACGCTGACCAACAACATCCATGTATTTTCTATACTCATCAGGCCATTTTACATTGCAAGTGAAAGTGATGAAATATTGTGGCTTACCATGAACCCTACATATGGCTAGAGCGTCTTGATAGTGTTTATACATATATCTAGGTCCCCCAACGAAAGTTGCAGGTAGAAATACATGCATACTAATGACATGGCTGTCCGTATCGCCTTTGGACAAAGCGTCATAAACACCGCTGATGTACTCTAAACGCAATTGATGCTGATGATGTTCAATAAATTCAAGCCTAGATTGTTCAATTCAAGTATAGGCATCCACCAAATATTGTTGGAAAAGGCGATGTGCATGTAAAATAAGAGAGTAATTGTGTCGATCGTGAATCTGATAACTCTAATACATATTATTTGTTAAGATTCTAATAGAGTCAATACGTAGAGACAAGGCAGGAGACCATCCTTCTTCTCCGTATGGGAATAGTAATGGATACTGCAAAGGCATATAAGTTGGATGAAGCTTATTAACTCGCCGAGCTAACCCAGACTTTGAATAAACAAAAATATCTAACAGCCCTAGTAAAATCATCATCACCGACGATACAACCCAAACTTCCAGGGGTTGGTGACCCATATCTTCTGTCAGGCACATAACTAAATAACCGTACACCATATAAATCTAAATTTATTGACTGAGCTATTTCTTTTGCAGTCTTAAACGTACGAACATACTCATTATGTGTGTTCAACATATGACTTAATGAATGTACAATATCTGTAGACAAAAATACTTCATTATCACCATGAAAAGAATGAAGTCTATGAGCAACCTCATTTTCAGTATCATACATATACAAATATAGAAAACAGGGCTGATGAATGTCTTGAGGATAAAAGGATCCAATCCAATGGTAAATATGACCACTGAACTTAAACACATATGGTGCACGATCTTTATTGATTGAGTCATCTTCGTTTGCACCAAAAGACGGCATAAAGAACATGCATGGAATTATATGCTCTTTTGTTATGCATAAAGTGATCATCTTCGTAAAATTGTAGAAGCACATCAGGCGGACGAAGAGGGTAGGGAAGAACAACATTACCCGACTTACAAAACATTTTGTATATCGCGGATGATTGGCTCGGGATAAATACAACTCTTTAATGATACCAAAAAAACGCCCCAAAATGCTCACCCACACAGGAACAATTCCCACATTCGTAATAAATAGGCAACGTTGGTATCTCTAATAAAAGGGAACTCCTACGTGAATGACGGGGGACTATTGTATTGGAAGTAGAAGCCATTTGTTGCCTTTTTGGAGGCATCACAAGAAAGCATTTACTAAAATAGAAATCCAAATTCCATCGACTTTTAACATACTTTATATGTAATCCAAATTGAAAATTAGATTCTAAAAAGGTAAATTTGAAACTAACTATTCTAATTATTAGTAACTATTTTTGGTATATATTTAACAAAAATTTAGAACAGCGTAATAGCGTACTCTATGATTGTATTAATCCATGTAGTCATTATGTACACAAATCATATCTAGTGAAAGGGTTAAAAATAACTTACCCAATTTTTGTAGATGCAAGGTAGAGTTGAATATCAGATTCCTGTAACACAAAAATTATATATCTCTTTATTTACACAAATTCATGAGAAATCGAGAAGGCTTTTAAAATGTCAAACCTAAGAGTTGGAAAAGAAGAAAGAGAGAAAAATCGAAATTGAGTAAGGAATAGAAAATCAATATTAAATACAAAGGATAGAGAACATACCCGGACTTCAAATTTTGAGTTGGAATTGTTAGAGTCCAAACTGTAAGTGCTTAGAGGAAAAGACGACGGACGTAGAGGTCTGAAACAAAGAAAGTAATGTATTAATATGATTAATGAAATTCTAGTAAGTGTGTGTAGATACAATCCAAGTTTATCAAACATGGAGATTAAGATAACGACCTAATGTACATAACTTTTATTGTGTTTTGAAGAGAGTCGATTCCTAGGTTTTTTGTAATTGGCCATTGCTGTCGTTTGGTGATACCTTGAACGTAACATTTTCTAATAAAAGACCAAAATACCCTCAATATATATAAATAAATAAATAAAATTCATTTTTATTAGTCGTTTTCTAGGGTTTTTTGAATATGGCTATTAATTGTGGCATGGTGTTTCTTTAAATGCGATCAGAACAATTCTTTGTGGGTGTTCAAGCAAAGATATTGAATTATCTATTTGTGTATTTATTTCCATCTTTCACACGTCTTTTTGTTGACTTGGTGTACATGATTCCCATCTTTCATACTTTCTTATTGAAAAATAAAATAAATATATAAATAAATATGTTTGTGTATTTTTCTAGGTTTGCAGCTTTGGCTCCACTTTATTATTGATGTGTGACGGTGGGAGTTATTGTGTATGATATAAATAATCTTGACTTATTCTATAATTCTCAATATTGGGTGGAGGCCTGAGTATTGCATTGTGTTTCGTTCAATCCTGATGGAACTAGAATTCTAGATTCCATTTCATGGTTTTTTGGTTGAGAAATTCTGGTTTTGGTTTCTGAGTTTGAAAGATGAAGTCGAAAATATAACCACTATTTTGAAAATCAAACCGATTCAGCCGGTCAAGCCGGTTCAACCAGGAATCGGCTAAGTCACTGGTTCTATAAGTCTCAAAAACCGGATGTGTGCTGAACCATTGAAAACTAGCAGACTGATCAAAAAATAGTTACAACTGGACCGTTTACCACTAATTAATCCTGTTTTTTTTTCTAAAAAAAAGACTAGGACAGTTTCCGGCTCTTTATAAGCCAACTTTAAAAGGCCACTAGACTTTGCAAGCCAGATTATTTAATTAACTTTTTTGACCATTAATAAAGCAAAAAAATTGGGTCTAGCATAAAGGAATCAAGGATTTCAATTTCCGTCATATCCATTGGAATCAACATAACTAACTATTAGTTTTTTTGGAACGAATGGGGTCCTTAGGAATTGGAATGATTCAGGTTTATTCCAGTCATAAAAAAAAGCAATAAGGTGAGGGGTGAAAAAAAACCTAATTGGTTTACCTCAAATTCGACCTTCAAACCGGCAATTACAATTTAATTATTTTTGTTGAAGGGTACATCAACCTCAAGTTCGAACTTCAAATCACTATGTGGTTGCCGAATCCATCAAATAAAAATTCATTCAGATAAATTATACACAACACGAGGAAAACAGAAAGACCCAAAAGGGATATCTCTTCAATAAGGAAAAAAAAATAGGTTTCAACCTTGCTGCCATTTATCAATAGATGAACAAAGTTAGAGTGCCTTGTTGCCATGTATCAATAGATGAACAAAGTTAGAGTATGACAATGTAGAGGTGGCGTAATCTTATAGATTTGGTTTTCTTCAACAAACACAATCTTATAGATTTTGTCACATTTGAGCATGCTCTTACACATGTTAATGGGAATTGTGGAATAAAAATATACCTTCTGACACCCCAAAAGGCCTTGCCCTCCTTAAGGTATGCTCAGAATATACAATTTCAAATTTAATCATCAACTCTATGCTTAAAATGAGACATTATAAAGATTCAAGAAACAAATTAATTAAGTTACCTGAAGTGTTAGCAGCAAGAAGAAGTGCACGTGAAGAAACAGGTTGGTGAGTCAATGATGATGGGCTGACTATTCCTTGTGGTTTCAATTGCTGAAAGAAGAAAATAATAATATTTCATTAATATATAAACAAAAATAATGGTAGCAATTGACTTTTAAAAACTAAAAAACCAATACTTACCGTTTGGAAAACCCCTGTCTAGCATGAAATTTACAATCTAATTGGTCACAGGAGAAACATTCTTGATAAAGTTCTTGAAACATCAGCCAAATAACACCATGCTTGTCATCTTTGTATCAGTCACCATACATATTATATCCACAACCACTTATAAGTTATGAAACAAAATAACAAAACTAGTTCCTTATTCATACAAACAAAACAACAAACACCTTGTCTACATAAATGTAAAACCGTTAAATTACCAATTATATCACATAATCACAAGAAAACTGAAAGAAAAATAGATAATAAATGGATTACATGATTCTCTGACTGTCAATGTGGTTGATATTTGCAAAGAACTGCAATTCGTGTGAATATGCAGAAATTGCTTCAACTTTGAGGATCAGACTTACTTGAAACAGTAGGAAGTTGAAATTAAGTCTGAGAAGTCTCTCTTTATCGAGTTTTCTATTCGAATGGTGAAAGCGAGGAAACCATATTTGTCTTTATTTTTGTAAAATTCAGAGAGAAAGAAAAGAGCGCCTGATTAGAAGACCCAATTTTGTCAATTATTTCAGAAGTGCGCTTATTGTGTGTGTTAGAGAGATATACATATTGCATTTGAAATACCATATCAATGAGAACAAATGGAATTGAAGCCCTAAATTCCCGGAGGAAAAGACGTCGATAACATCAAACACAGGAAGTCGGAAAGGAAGAATGATGGATTCAAAGATGTTGGAGAAACATATGACATACCGTAATTATAACAAAATAACAGACAACAGGCGATTGGTGGCTGATTTTTGGTGGCGGCAATTGAGCGCAAAATTGGTTGGCAACAGCAATCGAAATCCTTATTTCTTGGGCGGCAAATCGTCGACCGTCAAACCAAAGAAGTCGGAGACATTGATCGGAAACGCAATAGGATTAGAAAGAAGACCAATTGTATGAAAATCAAAACAAAAGTGAAACAACCAACAACATACCGAAATTCCTTCAGGGTACAGGCGCTTGGTTGCAGACGTTATGTGGTGACAATAGAGCGCATAAGGTTTTTGGTGAGAGCAATTGAATTTCTATATTCTTGGATGAAGTCGTCGGTAGAATCAAAGTAACAGTCGGAGACGATTCAAGAAGAAAGGAAGATATTGTGAGACGAATGAAGAAGAAAGGGGTGGAGAAATTAGAAAGTGATGTGGATGGTTACAAACTGATGTCGATGTTTTTGTGGATTATGATATTAAGATGTAAACGTAGAAGGACGAAACAGTAATTCTGTCCAAATTGATGTGTTGAAAGTTTGAAACATTAGAAGTTTACTGTTTTAAGATGTGTTTGGGTTTTAATATATGTATATAATATCAATTACAATTACTCACTGAATGTATGTTATTTCTTTACCTACAAGTTTACGTCACTATTCAACAGACAATAAGCTAATAAACATATTGCCTTTTATGGGGAAACTTGAAGAAAGGCCGATTGACATCTTTGGTGTAAAAATTAATTTTGATCCATTTTGAGATTATATGTACGGAAATATGTAGAAAAAACTTATTTTTTTTGGAAAAATTAACAATTAAAACTCAATCTTTTTAATATAAATACCCAAAAAAACCTAATTTCATTATTTTAACCATTTTTAACATATTCAACAAGTCATGAAACCAAATTGTTAACTCTTCCTAAATAATGAGATTTTTTTATAAATGTTTTCAAAATTTGTGTACAACATATAAACGTACTTTTATGAATTTATATGTACTATTTATGTATTTAAATATATATTTATGTAGTTATGTACTTTTTAAGGTTTTTTTATGTAGTTTTTTTTACGTTTTTTTAATTTTTTTTCTTTTACGTTTTTATATATTTTAAATGTATAAATGTATCTTTTATGTATTTATATGAAATTTTTAAGAATTTTTATATACTTTAATGTATTTTGGTATATTTTTCGTGTATTTATATATCCTTACATATTTATATGAACTTTTAAGTTTTTTTACGTACTTTTATTTATTTTGGTATATTTGTCATGTATTTATATGAAATTTTAAATAATGCAGTTGGCAGCAATTAGAGTGTAAAACCTACATAAAAGAACTTTTCTTGATATTTCCTATAATAAAATCCAATTATACACTATAAGAATTGTCCCATATGCCGAAACATCTATGTCGATGACACAAGTCGTCGGAGTTCACCAACTTTGGTTGACCAACTTTGTTTGACCTGGGTATCTATGCCAACGACTTGTCGACGTGAAACCTGCTAAAGTATTTATGGGCATGGTTTTTCAAAACCTAAGCCGATGACAGGTCGTCGGAATATTTTGCATAAATCACTACTAGAGAACTGCACTTTAATGACATTAAAACAATGACACGCAGTGATTTACGATACTTATATTTTGTGTGTCCTAAAAATAACGCCCGTTTTTAAAAAAATGAAGGATAGAGGACACGCAGTTTTGCGTGCCCTAAAATTAGTGGCCAATAAAAAAATAAAAAACACAGATGGCACCTATGTTCAAATGAGTGTCGTGTAGAGATGTCGTTTTATATTTTATTTAATGAAACGCGCATTTAGCTTGGGGGAAATGAAAATCCCAATAGTTTGAAAGGCCGCCATTTTAACCTCTACCTTATTTCCATCGTTCTTCTCTTTGTGATCAATACCCAAAAAAAAACCCTAACATCATCACTGCTCCTCTTTTCTTGCACAACAAGAATGTATGACGCCGATCATGAAGTTCTCAAAGCGTTCAAAGGATCGGGAATCAAGATCGTTATTGGGCTAGGAAACGAATTCCTGAGAGATATAAGCACAAGCCGATCGAGCTATGGATTGGATGAAAAACAATGTTGAACTTGTCGTCCCCGGGACCCGTATTCGTGGAATTGTAGTCGGAAACGAGGTTCTAGGAGGTGGCGATCATGAACTCTGGGAGATCCTGCTACCGTCGGTGAAAAATATCCACACAGATCTCGACCTCCTCCACCTAGCCGACGATGAGGTTTCAAGCCCACATTCCGCTGGTGGGTTCGCTAGTTCGTTCCCTCCATTTCTACATAAACACGTATCCATTTCTCACATACATCAGTGATCCCGAACACATCGATATCAATTATGCAATCTTCAAAAATAACGCTGGAATAGAAGACGCGAAAACGAAATTACATTATGATAACATGTTCGAAGAACAAATCGATGTCACTTACACTGCTTTGGAAAAAGCTGGATTTGAGAAGATGGAGGTTATAGTTTTGGAAACCGGATGGGATTCAAATGGTGAAGCGAATGAAGCCGGAGCTATGTTGAGTAATGTGAGAACATATAATCTCAACTTCCGTAAAAGACTAGTGAAGAAGAAAGGTACACCTTACAGACCAAATTCAGAAAGAGACTTGCCTTTCTGTCCATCTGCAATTTCTGAAATCCCTAATCACCTAATCGTATTTGATTAATCTGTCATCTCTTATTGATCGTAATTGATAATGGACACTCTAATTAATCTCGTCAACAAACTACAGAAAGCATGCACAGCCCTAGGCGACTTCGGTGAAGAATCCTCTCTTCCTACTCTCTGGGACGCCTTGCCTACAATCGTCGTTGTCGGTGGTCAGGTATAAATATGCAGATATTAATCGCCGATCATAATTTCTTTTCTTTTCAGCGTTCTTTCATCCGATCAATGACTTAATTCACTTAATCTTCTTGCAAGCATTTAGGTTCTCAATTTTAGTTTATGGTGTTTGTGTGCCTTTGATCTTTATTTCACTTTTCAACACGGTGATCTTTATTGACACAACTACATTTAACTTCTTGATTTAGATGAAAGTGTAAAACTGTTTGTGTAAGCAGTTTTTATTCGTGCAAATGTACTTCACAGTTCACTCTAATCACCTTCCATAAATTGTTTTTAGAGCTCTGGAAAATCATCTGTGTTGGAGAGTGTAGTTGGCAAGGATTTTTTGCCTCGTGGTTCTGGTAATTATTATATCTTCAAAGTTTTCTGATTCAATTTGTTGGATATAAAATATGATTAACATCTATTTGCAGGAATTGTCACTCGGCATCCTCTTGTTCTACAACTTCATAAGATCGAAGAAGGTAAAGAATAGGCAGAGTTTGCTCAGCTTCCACGAAAGTGGTTCACTGATTTTGGTATTACGACTAAAAAGCTTATGATCCTTTTGTAATTCTCAATCTCTCTGCATGATCTTGTTACAAGTTTATATACTTTTTTAGCTTCTGTGACGAAGTAGATTGCTGATGAAACTGACAGAGTGACAGGTTGTACCAAATAGATTTCATCTGTTCCTATATATCTTATTATCCATTTTCCAAATGGTATGATATAATTATAAACAAAAGATGTTTCATGAACATCAAATTTTAGAAAACATAATAAGTTACTAATCAATCTATTATGTCTGAATTTCTGATCTTTTATAGCTGTGAACTTTACCCTCATTGATCTTCCTGGCTTGACAAAAATAGTTGTTGGTAAGTTTACACAATTACACCATTTATATATTTTGCAATTTTGGTTAACATCTGTCTTTGATTAGTGATTTATGTAATCTATTTTCAGCTATGTGATATATGTAGAGGGGCAATCTAATAGCATTGTGCAAGATATTGAAAACACGGTGAGGTCATACATTGAAAACGTGTATATATTTATTTACAAATGTACCCAAATCTTATTATATGCTGAAAAGAATTGAAGAATAATATTAATATTTATTTTCAATTACATTGTGACATTGTCTTGCAGCCTAACTGCATTATTCTAGCAGTTTCTCCAGCCAACCAAGATCAATAAGTTAAAACCTGAAGGCTTCTTGTTGCCATCAGTTCTCTACAACTTTTAAGTTGGAGTGCTTGAGAAAGTCAAAGCGTTTTTTATGTCCGAGAAGGGTATTCTCTACTTAGGGTCTATCGGGTTGTTAGGAGAATATTGTCCTATATTCAAGGAGAAAACTCATTCCTTTACAAAACCAATCACCTGTATGCATCGAGCGCCATTTCAGGACCACACTGATTTCCACAAACATCAAGTCAGAAAACAGGAAGCATTAGTTTTGCAGTTGAGAGAATGATATCCGTTGTAGTCAATAATATTCACAGTTAATGCTGTCGTGTTGACTGATCCACCATGTTTTTCTGGTCATGGAGTTGGTGATAAGCGTTGTGTAGATCAATCTTTAAGAATTGTTGTGGGCCATGCAACATATCTAACATATCATAATGGCGATGACAGGCCGGATGGGGGATTGGAAACTTATATTTGATCATGACTTTTTAATTGAATCTACATAGTTCATATTTGGTTCTGTTGTCAATTACCTTACTTTCTTATTTAAAATATTTAGCTTTTCTCTGTCCCTAAATCCTAAATTCCTAATCGATTACTGAAGTCAAGTTCCCAAATGATGTCGACAAATTGATAGTTCTATGCTTAATTATTAATGATTACTTTTATATGTATTATTCTTCTTCTTTACATAGTGTTGTATTACAAAGTATGAACTTATTTGTTAATTTTTATGTTATTAACTTGCTTTTTAGATTTAGGTTATAAACTTGTTTGTGTAAGCACTAAGCAATGTTGGTTGGCTTAGTTTTCTACATCAATATTCTTATTTTTGAACTCTATTGGACACACATTTTTGTATGTTAGAAAATGCTTTTGTTGATACCCATTAATCTCCTTAATAGTGATTGTTTTTTTGATATTGAAAATGGTGATTGCAGATGATGTCGAATCCGGAATCGATAAGAATGGCGACAGATAGCATGAAATACATGAAAGTTGAGGACTTGAGGCATGCTGGAGAACAGTTGAAGTCAACTCGACCAGATGAGATGGCAGAGATATTGGTGAGAAGATGGCCAATGCAACACCTGAGGAGCTAGCTGCTATGCACTCCAGAGTATATGCACAATTAACTTATGAATTGAATGCAGCTCAGATGCTGAAAAAACTGGTAAGCATAAAACGCCTATCGCCTCTCTGTATGCGTTTCTTTTTTTTACTCATGAATTATCCGAACATGTGAGAGAATTTATTTTTATTTAAAAAAAAAATCAACTCCTTTAAATTCCAGTCCCTTTGACAGATCCCAATTTCTTTGAAAATATTATGAAAGAACAGTTATTTTAATTGTTGTTATTTGCTTTAGTTTGTGGCTTACCTAAAATTCTTCAGGAAGCTAATAACCGAAATAACAATACGTTACCACCTCCATGGGCAATAGCTGTTATGTTCATCCTAGGATTTAACGAGTTTATGACACTTTTAAGGTTTGTTTGTTTTCTTGTCTTTCTAAGTAACTTGTTAATACTCAAATCCAAAATTCACAATACACATTGTCTTGTTTTGCAGGAATCCATTATGGCTGCTTGTTATTTTTGTGGGTTATCTTCTTTTCAAAGCTTTGTGGGTCCAACTAGACAAATCCGGTGAATTTATTTAGCAATGGAATGGTGAGTTCCATTCCATATAATAGCAACATACTTCACAGTTTGTCGCACTTAGTTCACAATTTATTTATTTATTATTTATTCATTTTCCTGTTTCTTATACCTTTTTTTATGCTTACAGCTTCCAGGAATTCTGTCTTTATCCATGAAGTTTCTTCCTACAGTCACAAATCTGCTTAGAAAACTAGTCGAAGAGGGGCAAAAGCCTGTTGCAACCCAATCACAAGTATTAGGAAGTTTTCAAGGGGTAGTTTCGTCATCTGGCTCATCTGGTGTAATCATGGAAAATGGAAATGGAACCGAGTACACTAGTCCCACCACACATGTCAAAGAGCAATATGTTCCACCTATCACTCACATTCATTTATTTGATCAAATACTTGTGCACATAGATGCAAAACTCGTTTATTTACACATGTGTATATCATTTTATGGATTTTTTAATATATATGCAAAACTCGTTTATTTATGCAGGATGGAAAGTCGGGCAATGCTTCAAGCGTTTACTTGCCATCCACGCCAGGTGGACAGCCGCCCATGACACTAAGTTCAACATTTTTACCTGGTAGACCGGGTGGCAAACCAATGACACGGAGGATTTTGTTTTACTATTCAAACATTTGTTATAAAGTATTTGTGAACTTGCACAATTGTAACTAAGAAAGCATATTTGTAAACATTTGCAGATGTGCTGACAGAAGAAATAAACACATACATAGCATCCTAATGTCATCAATTAATTTTTAATCATATATTGTATGAAGCTACAATAAGAAAAAGATGATATATATTTGTTTTAGTCCCAACCTTTAATGAACTGCCCACCTCCACTTGGAATATTATTTACAAAAAACCCTTCAGGTTTTACAAACCAGTAAGAATGTTCACGATCTGCATTTAAAGCTAATTTGTCAGAAATGGCTTTGTTAAACAAATCTAAGCTCTGAAATTTTGAACCCCACCAGAAGTAACCGTAAAAAAGAGTGTGACCACCAACCTTTTCACAGAAAGAGCAGGAGTAATTTCCTACATATTGAATGGTATGGTTCCCAAGATCATCATCTCCTGATTTTATGTGAACAACAAGATCTTCACGAAGAGCACTAATAACGCTAACATTCAATTTTGTAGTAAACGGACATGAAAATGCTATTGAAGCAATTGGGTAAGTCAAAATGAGAAAGGCGAAAAAATTATGAATTGTAGAAGACCTCGTGTTTCTGAAGAGTTTTCTCTTTATTTCATGCACACAAGTTCCCTCTATTTATTGCTGAAGATGTAAGCTTGCCTCAATGGAGTAACGGTTCTTGCTAACGGAAGTTACAAGTTGGAAGTTATTATGGCAGTTACATAAGTTTCTTAACATTCGTAGTAGAAAGATGTCATTGCCGTTACATTGAAAGGGTGTGTCGTTTGTATGAAGGGGAGCGATGGTTTCAACCTATAACTACGTACTTACTCCTGATGTAACTTACTTATCTATGTTGATTATGTGATTAATAAAGATTTTTTATTTCCCACAAGAATCTCTCTTTCCGTCTTCATGTTTTCAATGTATTTCTAAAACATTTATGTGCATTTGAATCCTTAATTAACAACTAGTGTAGTAACCCGTGGGGAACCACGGGTCACGTTAATTGTTTTTTTGGCACTTCCCCTAAATGGCAATTGCATTCAATTATTTTTTTGTAGTTAAATATATGATAATTGGTCCCACCGACCAGAATGGTTATATAATAAAGTTCATGAACAACAAACACACTAATAACATTAATTGAAAAGTAAATATTATTTGATATCAAACAAATTCATATATACAACAAAAGATGACAACAATTGTTTTGTATATGTTCGTCTCAAGATGACATAGTTTACTGAATATTTACAGATTAGACGAAAAATGATACAGCAAAAAGAGTACAGTTTATGTCTATGTATGTTCGGAAAAGATCAAATAGTTTTATTGCTTTTCGCATGTGTCCCTTCGTTCGCTTTGCCGTGTTTTTTGTATTTCATTCGTTTGGGACGTTGTGTTTTCTGTGAAGTATCTGTGAAATGGAAACCGTGTTGGATATAAATATACTGCTAAATGTTATTTTTACCTGTATGTTCCAATTGGAGGTGTCTTCCGGTTTCATGTGATTTAGTAGGGGTGAGGGACTCGGTATTTGTGGTGGTTTGTTGATCCATTGTGGTTGAAGGTTTAAACGTACATGCATTAACATCTCCAAAAGCTTTGTCTTCTTTAAGGAAGTTAATGAAAGCATGAACTTTGATCTTAAAGATGTGTGCCATGATATCTGGTCAAATATCACGCCGACTAACAACATCCATGTATCTTCCATACTCATCAGGCCATTTTACATTGCAAGTGAAAGTGATGAAATATTATGGCTTACCATGAACCCTACATATGGCTAGAGCGTCTTGATAGTGTTTATACATATATCTAGGTCCCCCAACGAAAGTTGCAGGTAGAAATACATGCTTACCAATGACACTGCTGTCTGTATCGCCTTTGGACAAAGCGTCATAAACACCGCTAATGTACTCTAAACGCAATTGATGTTGATTATGTTCAATAAATTCAAGCCTAGATTGTTCATTTCAAGTATAGGCATCCACCAAATATTGTTGGAAAAGGCGACGTGCATGTAAAATATGAGAGTAATTGTGTCGATCGTGAATCTGATAACTCTAATACATATTATTTGTTAAGATTCTAATAGAGTCAATACGTAGACACAAGGCAGGAGACCATCCTTCTTCTCCGTATGGGAATAGTAATGGATACTGCAAAGGCATATAAGTTGGATGAAGCTTACTAACTCGCCGAGGTAACCCAGACTTTGAATAAACAACAATATCTAACAGCCCTAGAAACATCATCATCACCAACGATACAACCCAAACTTCCAGGGGTGGTGACCCATATCTTCTGTCAGGCACATGACTAAATAACCGTACACAATATGAATCTAAATTTATTGACTGAGCTATTTCTTTCGCAGTCTTAAACGTACAAACATACTCATTATGTGTGTTCAACATATGACTTAATGAATGTACAATATCTGTAGAAAAAAGTACTTCATTGTCACCATGAAAAGAATGAAGTCTATTAGCAACCTCATTTTCAGTATCATACATATACGAACGGGGCTGATGAACGTCTTGAGGATAAAATGATCCAATACAATGGTAAATCTGACCACTGACCTTAAACACATATGGTGCACGACCTTTATTGATTGAGTCATCTTCGTTTGCACCAAAAGACGAGATAGAGAAAATGGAATTATATGTTCTTATGTTATGCATAAAGTGATTATCTTCGTAAAATTGTAGAAGCACATCAGGCGGACGAAGAGGGTAGGGAAGAACAACATTACCCGACTTACAAAGCATTTCGTATATCGCGGATGATTGGCTCGGGATAAATACAACTCTTTCATGATACCAAAAAAACGCCCCACAATGCTAACCATCACCGGAACAATTCCCACAGTCGTAATAAACAGGCAACATTGGTATCTCTACTAAAAGGGAACTCTTACGTGAACGACGGGGGACTATTGTATTGGAAGTAGAAGTCATTTGTTGCCTTTTTGGAGGCATCACAAGAAAGCATTTACTGAAATAGAAATCCAAATTCCATCGACTTTTAACATACTTTATATGTAATCCAAATGGAAAATTAGATTCTAAAAAGGTAAATTTGAAACTAACTATTCTAATTATTACTAACTAATTTTTGGTATATATTTAACAGAAATTTAGAAAAGAGTAATAGCGTACTCTATGATTGTATTAATCCATGTAGTCATTATGTACACAAATCATATCTAGTGAAAGGGTTAAAAATAACTTACCCAATTTTTGTAGATGCAAGGTAGAGTTGAATATCAGATTCCCGTAACATAAAAATTATATAACTCTTTATTTACACAAATTCATGAGAAATCGAGAAGGCTTTTAAATTGTCAAACCTAAGAGTTGGAAAGGAAGAAAGAGAGAAAAATCGAAATTGAGTAAGGAATAGAAAATTAATATTAAATACAAAGGATAGAGAACATACCTAGACTTCAAATTTTGAGTTGGAATTGTTAGAGTCCAAACTGTAAGTGCTAAGAGGAAAAGACAACGGACGTAGAGGTCTGAAACAAAGAAAGTAATGTATTAATATGATTAATGAAATGCTAGTAAGTGTGCGTAGATACAATCCAAGTTTACCAAACATGGAGATTAAGATAACGACTTAATGTACAGAACTTTTATTGTGTTTTGAAGAGAGTCGATTCCTAGGTTTTTGGTAATTGGCCATTGCTGTCGTTTGGTGATACCTTGAATGTAACATTTTCTAATAAAAGACCACAATACCCTCAATATATATAAATAAATAAATAAATAAAATTTATTTTTATTAGTCGTTTTCTAGGGTTTTTTGAATATGGCTATTAATTGTGGCATGGTGTTTCTTTAAATGCGATCAGAACAATTCTTTGTGGGTGTTCAGGCAAAGATATTGAATTATCTATTTGTCTATTTATTTCCATCTTTCACACGTCTTTTTGTTGACTTGGTGTACATGATTCCCATCTTTCATACTTTCTTATAGAAAAATAAAATAAATATATAAATAAATATGTTTGTGTATTTTTCTAGGTTTGCAGCTTTGGCTCCACTTTATTATTGATGTGTGACGGTGGGAGTTATTGTGTATGATATAAATAATCTTGACTTATTCCATAATTCTCAATATTGGGTGGAGGCATGAGTATTGCATTGTGTTTCGTTCAATCCTGATGGAACTGGAATTCTAGATTCCATTTCATGGTTTTTTGGTTGAGAAATTCTGTTTTTGGTTTCTGAATTTGAAAGATGAAGTCGAAGATATAACCACTATTTTGAAAATCAAACCGATTCAGCCGTCAAACCAGTTCAACCAGGAATCGGCTTAGTCACTGGATCTATAAGTCTAAAAAACCGGATGTCTACTGAATCATTGAAAACCAGCAGACTGATAAAAAAATAGTTAAAACTGGACCGTTTACTACTAATTAATCCGGTTTTTTTCAAAAAAAAAAAAAAGACTGGGTAGTTTCCGGCTCTTTATAAGCCAACTTTAAAATCCCACTAGACTTTGCAAGCCGGATTATTTCATTGACTTTTTTGACCATTAATAAAGCAAAAAAGTTGGGTCTAGCATAAAGGAATCAAGGATTTCAATTTCCGTCATATCCACTAGAATCAACATAACTAACTATTAGTTTGTTTGGAACGAATGGGATCCTTAGGAATTGGAATGATTCAGGTTTATTCCAGTCATACACAAGAGCAATAAGGTGAGGGGTGAAAAAAAACCTAATTGGTTTACCTCAAATTCGACCTTCAAACCGGCAATTACAATTTAATTATTTTTGTTGAAGGGTACATCAACCTCAAGTTCGAACTTCAAATCAATATGTGGTTTCCGAATCCATCAAATAAAAATTCATTCAGATAAATTATACACAACATGAGGAAAACAAAAAGACCGAA